AACATTTGCTGATTGAATCTTAGCAATCATAACAGACCCATGGGATATAAAACAGTCAAGACCTGTTCATAATCCAAATCAAAAACATCCAGTTAATTTACAATAAGGATAAACCAATTTACTCCTGTATTCACACCTTTCCAAAACATCCTGTTGTTTTCCACAAATTAGGGATGTCACTGAGACTAAATAAGTTAGTTAGGACAATATTGGTTCTTTGATTACATTGTATACATGTATGTAAAGATAAATAACAACTATAACATTGACTCAATATTTGGCTATAATTGAAATGTCAAGACATTTGATTTCTGATAAAAATGTTCAGATTAGACAGGTCACTTTTTCAAATCTGGTTGTTCACTGTTCAAATTAGGAGGTGTTCAGATTTCAAGGTTTTTTTAACATGGGAGTCAATGGGAGGAAAAAATGGGACCGAAAAAAAGTGTTCAAATTGGAAGGTGTTCGGATTAGCCAGGTGTTCAGATATACAGGTTTTACTGTACATGGAAAACAAAATATGTGAAAATTATAAAGATTGACCTTTTTGTTATCATAGTCACAAAAAGTTTAACCTTTCCATATAGACTGTAGAGTTGACGTCCTGGATATTTAGGAGAACCTGTAGAGGATTGGTATCAATTATATGGTGAACTTTTTGAACACACGTTTCTCTAAAATCGGTCATCAAAAAATTCTAAAAATATTACACATCGTCAATTTAATGGTCATCTTTTGAATGGTAACAATATAATTTGAAAAAAATTTATATACATTTCTCTATATTGTTTTAGAAAACACATCAAACACTTCTTTTGTTCCTGGTATCATATGCTAAGAATGAAATTAAACATCTTTCTGAACCTCATTGGAACAAAACGACATAAATACAACATGTTTAGGTCTCTCAATATTGTAATTGTACAAAGGAAATTTTGGTTGATTTTCAAAAAGTATCTTGTTAATGAAATAAAAGGTTTATCTTGATTTCTATCTATTTTTGGGGGGTTTTGTTTTACTTTTTTGAATACTTTTTTAAAATCAACCAAAAAATTCTTTGTATTCAAACAAGGTTCAGAAAGACATTTTATTTCCTTCTCAAGAATTGGTAGAAAGGAGCAAAAACAACTGCACTAAAAGACAAAAAATGTTAACAAAAACAGTTCTATAAGATATTTCTAATACTTTTACTTTCTGAATTTCCAAAGTTGGAGCGATATTACACTCTTTACAATGGAGTTCCTTAATTGAAGTTGGATTCCAAATAAGCAAACTTGGAGATAGATATGTTTCTGGAACTCCAGTTATTTGCAGCTCATTACTTTTAAAAAGTACTGATGACCTTTGATTCTTGCTTTTTTATAACTATCTAATTTTGCTTCAATATATTGAAAAGGTAGAGAATTCATAATACATTGTAATACATTAGACTGAAAGTTTCTGAAATTGACTCTATTTAAAATCAGTATCAAGATAAGACATAAAATGATCCATCTTAAGTAGACATATATGTTTGGTTAAGTAACAGCTTATCAGCTTTATAGTGCTACATATAACTGTATAATTCTTTTCCAATCTGGAAAGCATCGGTGTTTCTTGTCAGTGTTTGGGTTGACAGCAGGTTGACAGATTATTTAGGATTAGATGTAGGTTATGGGTTTGTCTCATTACTGTAGTCTTGACTGAATTAACTGTTTTCCTCTAGAAGATACTGGCTGATTCAATGTAAATATATAATTCAAAGACAATTTTAAAGAGTTCTTTAAAGTTAAAGTTCTGTCAAGTCTGGAGTAAAGTTAAAATTTCTATAATGAAATATGAAGTATAAAAATACAATATTGGAATCACTTATATTTTTAGAGACTATGACCATTTCCGCTTACCATTTTTGACTTATATTATACATGTACCTATCATAGGCGTAGCCAGGAGGGAGGGACGATGACCAATAAAAATAAGAGCTTTAAAATGCATTTTATTTGAAGCTTCTAGCTCAGTATTGAGAGAAATAGCAAAAATTTGGCGATTTCCCCCCCCCCCCCGACTGAAAGCTGGCTTAGCCCCTGCATATATTTGCAATCAAAAAAAACATTAGAATGATGTCTTGCTACTGAAGGCAAGAAGGCAATCAAATATGATTGATTGGAGCATGGACTGCCACGATTTATGTTACAATGTTATCAAGTGACTTTTTGCATTTGTATCACTGCTAGTGAAGTGAGCCCAAAAAGCGGAGGTACGGGGGTTCACCCGAGGTATTTTTAAAAAATCTACACTGTATAAGGTACACTGTATAAGGTACATTCTACATATTTCACCCCCCCCCCCCCCTGGTTGCGCTAATGTCTTTTATTTCCACATATAGGATAACATTTAAAAACAGAAATAACATTTTTCAAATTTAAAAGTCCTCAATCAAAATCAAGTATTAAGCAATGCTGTTAATTAAACTCACTAATTCTGACTTTCTGTACCTGTTAAAGTGTGGATGTAACCTGATATTTTAATGGGAGTTGCTAGCAACTTTAAAACTGGCCTTTAAATATACAAGTTTAATGTTAAATGTTGTTCTCAAGTTCGTGTAACTGATACCTACCTCTGGTGTGCTCATGTGGCCAGTATGAACACACATATAAAATTTCAATTCAAAGCATAACATTAGTCCTAATCTCTTGTGTCACTGAGATGTTATTAATGGCCAAGCAGGTTTCTGAGATTTAATGTGTTTCATTCATTTCTACAAGAACTCACACATTCTATATATTAAGTCAGTGTTCTCCCCCCAAAAAAATTCCACCTGGGTGCAAGTTTTCAAGTCTGAAAAAATCAGTGCTCGCTACGCTCACAATATCTCTGTGTAGGTGCTTACTTAACTCATTTTTTAAATCAGAAGTTGAAGTGCAGGATGCCAACTGGGGGGCCTTTGGTTTCAAGTGGGGGGGGGGGTAAAGTGACATGGGGAGATCACTAAGTGATATGATATTTTTAATTTAGTTTATGTTCATAGGATTATCCATACATTCTCATTTATTGATTCTTAATCTTTATTTATGGAATTTCCTGAATCCTTGTAATGAGTATTATTCCTTCTCTGAATAATTTTTGGGTGGTCATTGTAATATTTTAGGCTAGTTGTGGCTGCTATGGGAACATGAACACTTGTGCCCTGGAGAAGCAGCTCAAATGTCTTCATTGATAGGGAATCAATCTTTTGTCTATGTTTTTTTATATTTATTTACCTATCTAAAATATGCAATGTATTAGATCAGATAGACAAAAAATATAACACCTTCATTATGTACAAGCAGCTCATACCCGGACAGAAGAATAAAAATCTGTACAAATTGATTGATAAAAAAACAGGTTTTAAAATGCTCATAAATATTAGATACCTTATACATGCAATACACTGGAGTAATACTACTCAGATAACATTTTGGTTATTTTACCTTGATATTTGAAGACAATTGTTAAATACATATAAATATTAGATTTAGAATTGTACTTTTTCGTTACGATGTTAAATTCATTTCATATTCTGTCAATGTTAATTACATATACCTACATATAGATATCTCAAACTGGGAACTGGGGACTGGGGACCAGCTTAGAAGATACATACATACATACATATAACATTCATAGATATCTCAAAATGGGAACTGGGGACTGGGGACCAACTTATAAGATACATACAAATATATATATATACACAAACATAGATATCTCAAACTGGGAACTGGGGACTGGGGACCTTCTTAAAAGATACATACAAATACATACATATTATACATGTATATAGCATATAGATATCTCAAACTGGGAACTGGGGACTGGGGACCTGCTTAAAAGATACATACAAATACATACATATTATATATAGCATATAGATATCTCAAACTGGGAACTGGGGACTGGAGACCAGTTTAGAAGATATATACAAATACATACATATATAACATGTATAGAATACACATATATCTCATAAATTTCTCAATGTAAGATATTCATGAATTATTGTTATTTAATTAACATATTCCATGCTTGTATATATATCATACATATATGAATACATATGATAATGTATGTATCTATCTAATTTGCATATTCTGTGCTGGCATATAATATACATTTGCATAAATATGTAGATATATGTATATATGCATAAATATATAGATATATGTATGTATACATATACATATATGTATCTATCTAATTTGCATATTCTGTGCTGGTTTACATGGCCCATAAGCCTTATAAAATATATATGATACACTTGATGTTGAATGCTTTTTAAAAGCTTAACATGCCCATGTGATCCATTTGTACACAAAAAACAGATATAAAAAGTGACAGTCTAATTTGATGACCACATACATATATGTTGGCAGTGAGTGACATTCTCTACGTGATATGCTCTTACATATGCATCATGTACTTACCTGAGCCTACCTTAACTGCACTATTACATACTTATCTGGGAATAGCTTATATGAAGATATACAGTATTCTCATTAGGGTTTTTTGATTCATATACTGAGCTGATGGAATCAATCATTCTCTACTAGGTACATTCTAGGATATTTGGAGAACTGATTCAACTACATATTAATTTTTAAATTTTAAACTACAAAATGTGAATCTTATTAAAGAATTTCAACTGGGTACAGGTGTTATATTCATAATATATATTTTTAAGTTACTGAGAATCGATGCCGGGATAGTACGATATTTTGATCATATTATCTCATGTAGACAGTTTATAACAGACACCTTGGAACTGTGATTAGCAGTACATAGTAATCTTTACGGAAATTCCTCTTTGGTTTATTTTGTAAATAGATTAATTTTCTGAGTATCAGTTTATTTGTTACATAAAAATACAAGATTTGATTCTTATCTTATCTTAATTAAAATGCCATGAATGTAAAATCAGTATGATAAAATGCTGTTTACATTTATAACATTGTAGATTAAAGTATTTGAATTCTGTTTTCCAGGTGTCATTTTCAGTGGTTAGCATTGGACCGCAAAGTTTTAGAAAATGACTTTCCACGTAAATCAGGGCCATTGACCTTATATTTTGCAGTAAGGTAAGAAAAGTAACGAAACTTTTTTATTTTTATATGGTCTCATGTCTATTATTTTTTAGCTATTTCTTGGCAAAGTGGACATCTAACTTACATGTTCTATTATTTTGAAGACATTAGAAGACAAATGATCAACTAAGCTTAAAATCAGTTTTACCCGCAGTGCCATATAATATTTGATAACGCAAAATGGCTGCAGTTTCACTTCAGTTTATTACACTTGAATAATGCATTGTGGGTAATGCTGAGAATTGTGGGTAACACAAAAGCGCAATCTCAATCAAAACAAATTGGTATATGGGGGAGGATACAAGGCTTAAAACAATATTTTTCTGTATGATTCTCAGTTACATACCATTTAAGGTACCAAAGGTGTTTTACTTACAGACTTCACTGAATAGGGGAAAGGGGGGGGGGGTCATAAGTCTTTATGCAAAACTATTATTGAAAAATTTCCTCAGCTTCATTTGAATATGCACTCACATGGAAGTCTATTCCATTTCAGATTTTATATTCCCAGTATATGCGGGTTAGCCTATAACTCAACCATAGAGCTCTTCTACCTGCAGGCCAAACAGAACGTCTTCAAGGTAGGGATGCAATTTGAGATTCATTCATTGTTACATCACTTGGTGTGTTATACTATTGCCATGACAATATCATTCTGATGGTCCTTTTAGAGATTATAACCCCTTATCTGTTAAACAAACCAATGAGACAGAGATTTGTTAACATTAATTCCTCATATTTCATATTCCTCCTCTATAAGAGTCCCTCCCTGAAAATTTAAAAACCTTCAAAAGATTCTAGCCCCATTCCGAAAAAGTCGCTAGCTCCCTGCATTATGCGATCTTTATTGACTCTGTTCTGAAGGAAACATATCTGACAAAATAATAAAAGTATAGAAGAAAAGTAGCTGCAGACTGGGCAAGGTACAATGATACAATACCAGAGAGCAATCCTTGCATACCTACTAGAGAAAATAAATACGGCAAACTTGATAACATTATTACTTGTACAAGAGAGCTCATAATTAGAATCTTAGTGTCCTTGTGAAAGACCAACATACCCAGTGAAAATGTGTTCAGTCCATATATAATTGGGCTGAATGTCCATATTTTGAAAGGGTACTCCAGAAGATAGAATTGCTCGGCTTGAATTTGCATAAGTCCATAGAATAAGACCTTTGTTAATGGCATGACCCATGCTACTAGTATTGTTGTAATTAGAGATAATGTCACTATTGCTATTATGAAATTAACCACCATGTGGAACTTTGCTTTCATATTGAGGTTGAAGTCATAACCATCTGAATTAAGGTCTCTATTTGTCAAATACACAGTTATAAGTTGTGGAATTCCAAAGAGCCATTTGGTCATCATAAATCCTCCTGTATGTATTACATTGAAGTATCCAAGAATATTACTGCGATCATATGGAGTTTTAGCCGTTTTAGCAAGTGTAATGCTCAATATGAACAGCTCCATTCGATCTATTAATTCCTTTAGTCCCATCGGCAAAGACATTTTTAGCACAGCCATGAATCCTAATGGAGTCCATTGTGATGGTGTTAATGGATCCAGCTGCGCCAGAATCTGATGTTTCCTGTATACAATGGCCAGAAATATCACCGTGGTAACAATGGAAGCATAGGTTGACAACACCGGGATCAAGATTGAATGAGATGTTGCTAATGATGTTTTTAATAAACAAAATGTAACTGTGATTTTTATGAACAGTCTAACGAATTCAGACGCGATGCAATACTTTCCGTAATCAAGTCTCAGTAAAAGCCCTTCTAGAGCAGTGTCCAAATTAGAGACCATGGGGCAAAAGCACAGTGCGGTTAATCCTAGTTTTACTATGGATAGTTCATTGTCAGTTAGCCCAAATAACAACTTAATTATATTCCCCATTGGAGTCTGACCAAGTGATAACATAAGAGTCGCAGTTATACACCCAACATACAAAATAAATCTCAATCCTTTCCAGAAACCTTTCCTCGATTGTACAAAAACAATGAAAATCTGACTCGCTTGTGATGGCGACAGATATGCTTTGGTTAATCCATTTACTGTCGATGTTATAGCTAGCCCAGTGAGTGCCTCTCTGAGGTTTGCCGCATAGGTTTGGCTCATAATTTCCATCTGACGGTTCACGGCAGGTTCAAATGTCACAAGACATAGGGGTAAAAACAGCCCACATATTTTAATATACTCCATTTTCATCAACCTTTGGTTTGAAATGATCATCCAGTTATTCCTGTATATTCTTAATAAGTTTGACCACTTCTTTTTCTCTATAATATATTATTCATAAACAGCGCAGATTATGAAACATATTATGAGTTTTTCTGTTGTTTTTCATCAGTATTTTGTCATCTACAGAGTGGGCCAAAAACTGCTATATTTTTATATGTTGTTATAACTTTTGTAACTTTTGTAATACATGGATCTTAAATAACTGTTTCAGAGGACATGCAGTAAATTGTACAATCAATCCCAAAATGGTGTAACGATAATCAATAATCGTAATGTTAATTTAATGCAATGAGTAAGATTAACAGTCAACAGGGTGTATATTATGGAAACTTTTAGTTTCAAGGGTAATATTTAATATAGCAATTTTTGATTTTAGTTATGTGCCATATTTTGAATGAGGTAGTTGTCTTAAACATGCATTATTCAAAAATATTTTTGCCAACCCTGTTCGTTATACATTTGATTTTTTTCAAATTCAAGGTCAATGTTTTAGTTTACCAGGTTTTGTTTAATAGATCCTAATCTTCATATAAAACCTTTTTTTTAGATATTTTTTTTATTAAGCAACAGCTGGTTACACTTTAATGTGACCTTTGTTTTAATTTTTTCATGAAATTTCAACAGAGAACCAATCTTTGGCATTATACATGAAAAGATAACACATTGAACTACCCTGACCCAAGTCAGACTTTCCTCTTACTTTTAGAGATGATTCTTCCTTTTTTACTGAACACCCTTCAACATGAACACTGCTTTGGTCTCAATGTTTTAATCTTCCATGTAAGACTTCCATTTTAAAACATCTGCCAGTCTGAACACATTTGGCTGAAACCAGTGACTTTGAGATTCGATATGTGTTACTGTACAGCCTTCATAACGTATTCTAGGGATTTTCTGATTATGTAATCTGATTAGATATAGGCAAGATTGAAGAATTATCTCTATTTTAGAGAGGAGTGTAGAGGTAGTTGAGCTTGCAAAGGGTAATATGGGACTTAAGTGTCATTTTAATGCTCATCCCTCTTACTCATATCATTTGTATATATTTTGCAATTGTCAGGAAATCTTCATCTTGCAAACAGTTCAACTTTCTTATAGTCGTACTTGGAGTGGTTAATGTCCAGAAATAACTTGATTATAGAAAGTATATTATAGTATGCTTAAAATTAATAGAACAATTTTGTACTGCTGGGACAGTGTTTTATACTGAAAGGATTGTGTTTACTAGTGACAAATGGTGTTTCCTAGTGACAAATGGTGTTTCCTATTGACAAGATGGTGTTTACTTACAGGACAGCAGTATTTTTTTAATTAGAAGCTGTCAGGTGGTAAATTTTGCTACTCGTTTTTAAGTCAAGGTTTCTCCAGTTGTCCTGGGTGTGAAAATACTGCCAGGAGATTAAAAAAATAATCTGGCAGCGTGAACTTGAGATTGACATCCACAGACTTGACTTCCTGTATATGAGCATCTGTCTTGAGAATCTCCTCAAATTTCATATCTCCATTTTTAGCATCTAAGACCATATTTGTGTTTCTCTTATTTATGACAGTGTTTCCATGTTGTGACGTTACGTTTCCTGATTTCAACATCATTTCCTCAAGAGTTTTCTAAAAGTCGAATGATCTTCGATGTAAAAAAATCAAAATATGAAATGTTAAGTCAGGAATGAATTTAAAGAATAGAGCTGAAGGATTTTCCAATTAAGGTGAAATCATAATGGATATGAAATGTGTATTTGGAGCTTTTGGTACTATCCTATGATAGTCTATATACCTTTTATACAGACTGACTTCAGTTTATTGCAATTTCTTGTGACATTATTTTATTGGTTTGTTTAACCGTGTTTGAAGTATATGAAACTTTCGTACATCAACATGTTTTTTAGAAAAATTCTTCAAAAACAGGCAGCTTTTGATAGAAGCAACTGGTGAACATTACCGTTTACCTGCTGTGAGTGAAACACCTGAAATACATTGTAGCACTCGTATTGTTTTTTACGGTGTTCAGCGTTCTGCATCTAACATTCTGTGGTTGGCATTCAGAGTTCAGAGTCTGTAACAAATGGCATGTTGTGACATTTTGCATGTTAATGCTTATTTCTATGTATTGTATATTATTTATTTCTATGTTTTAGGGTGTTGTCGAGTGTGACAGTGACACAGCATTTGAGTTAGCAGCCCATGTTCTTCAGGCATCAGTTGGAGACTACACAGAGTAAGTAGACTAATATATTAATGGTTTGGTAGGGAGGGGGAGGAAAGGTACATTTTGGTCCATTCATTTTTGTTTTCTTATCCTATAATGGTTGTTCTGGACATCTCTTTTTCTGATGAAGAAATCGGATTTGAGACTTTGAGACTGAGTATGTACTTCGTAACTCAAGATTTCATATTTGAATGATGTTTTGAGTATTTTAAATCAGCTTTTTGTCAAGATATTTAGAGAGAGACAATATATCATTTCAAACCAAATCCATGTTAAGTTTGTTTTATTAGAAATCAAAGAAAATTTGTTATAAATTTCAAAAAAATATTTTTGAAGGCCATTCAGTTATACCATATCATGATTTTCAACATTAGACATATCGAGTTCGTTCCCCCTTTGCCTTTCTGTGGAAGGGATAAATTTGGTTTCATTTAGAATGAAAGGAAGAATTGATATGCTGCACATGTTATCATAATGTGAGGCATATTAATCCATTCACATCTACAAATGCTATGATCCTGTTATCACCTCCTCTCAAAACTGACATTTGAATGTCAAACATTAAGGGCATGTGAAAGAGTCGAGGTTAACGTCTCTTGGTACATTTTTGAAAAATTCAAATATCTCTAATTATGAATGAAGCTCAATGGTTTTGAAATATTATATTTTAGATTAATCGAAAATGCATAAACTTCACTTTGAAATTATGGAGATTAAATGATCATGTCTAATCAACAGGTTATAATTATAAGAACCAAAATGTTAATTTCCTTGGCCTAATGATGCAGAGCTAATAGTTTGTGTAGTGACTAGATCAAGTGGCATTCATATCCACTCATCAATGCCCATAGTGGAATCAAAGAATCAAAGCATATTTAGGTCTTTGGTGGTCTTTTGTGGATATAGCAGATAGTTTGGTTGCCTGGTAAGATACTGCATTTTATATTATGGGTTTCATTAGAATCTCTGATAACAGGCAAAATGGATTTTTTGAAATTGTTTTTAACATGGAATCAATTGCAAAACAACTGACAGTTTTGTTAGAAAAAACAAACAACTTTTAATAAATATTTATGTATAGATGTAGCATATAATGTTGTGAAAATAGGTGTACAGTTATGGTCAAATTAGATTTTTGAATTGATCACTAATTAAGATTCAAGATTATTTCAGGTTCCATGTACATGTCATGATTTTTAGATTTCCATTTCACAATATTTCACAACTAGCTAAATGCTGACTTGACAGGATAAATCCATGAGATGAATTCATTTTAATATTTTTCTGTCTCAAAAATTGAAAACCAATGCATGATCATATTTGGAACCCTGCAATTCTGAAATCTTAGGGAACCCTGTATTTTGTGTGAACCTATATAATGAGACTGCCTGGGCTTCCATCCAACTGTCCCTTGCTCTGCAGATTAATGAAAAAAAGTAGGAATTATACCTCTTCAGGTTATCTTCATATACAAAGTGTGAGTCAGAGGTTTTGTTTTGTGATTTATAGCCCCTGTATAAGCACTGGGGTCTATATTTCATACAAGGGTAGAATCTATTATGCATAGGAATATTTCTTGAGGATAGAGGAAGGCTTGTCAGTCTGTATACTCAAAACTTCTTGGAATTCTGCTTTATGTCTGATTATTAGTGTCATAAAGTGTAAACAACAGCAGCTTCTTTAAATCAAAGCTTCCATTCCCAGCCTCCTAATTACCCCAAAGCTAATTATTATATCCATCTTGCTGCCCTAATGGCCAGCATATCCAAAGTTCATATATTGATTTGCTTTCTCAATTCATGAAGCATTACCTCAGTTCATGAAATACTACCTCAATTCATGAAATACTACCTCAATTCATGAAGCATTACCTCAATTCATGAAATGCTACCTCAATTCATGAAATACTACCTCAATTCATGAAGCATTACCTCAGTTCATGACTTACTACCTCAATTCATGAAATACTACCTCAGTTCATGACTTACTACCTCAATTCATGAAATACTACCTCAGTTCATGAAATACTATATCAATTCATGAAATACTATATCAATTCATGAAATACTATATCAATTCATGAAATACTATATCAATTCATGAAATACTACCTCAATTCATGAAATACTATATCAATTCATGAAATACTATATCAATTCATGAAATACTATATCAATTCATGAAATACTATATCAATTCATGAAATACTACCTCAATTCATGAAATACTATATCAATTCATGAAATACTATATCAATTCATGAAATACTATATCAATTCATGAAATACTATATCAATTCATGAAATACTATATCAATTCATGAAATACTATATCAATTCATGAAATACTACCTCAATTCATGAAATACTATATCAATTCATGAAATACTATATCAATTCATGAAATACTATATCAATTCATGAAATACTATATCAATTCATGAAATACTATATCAATTCATGAAATACTATATCAATTCATGAAATATTACCTTGATTCACGATTCAAGACTTATCCAAGACCGCCCTTTTCTCTGGCTTGCTACCTCGATTCAAGACTTCCTTCATCAATATAAATTCTCAATAAATGACTGACTATTTTGAAATGATTGAAACCATTAGAGCCTTCTACTGGTAAAATGATTGAAATTCAAATGATAAACTTAACTGATAGAATTGGATGAAAAGATAGGTTGATCATGATATTGCTGATATCCTCCATGTCAAGTATATAAATCCCAAAAGATTTGTGAAAATGGTGTATTTTGAAATGCATTTTCATCTGTTGTTTTGTTTTTCACTTATGAACATGAAATGATAACTAACAGCAGCAATGATAACTGGCAGGTTTCAGACTTATATCTAATTATACTAGTAAGTAAGGCCAGGAATAATCATGATTGAAATCCCTGCAGAATGGATCTAATTTGAGAATGTGTATGTGTGGCATATTAAAAAAATGACTGGTTGAAGTTTCCCAACCCCAGAGATGATATGGAAATTCAGATAATATTTTGTCAACCAGTATTTTATCCTTTTTCGTACATTATGTCCATCTTTTCTTGTAAAATTCCTTATTTAGTTGGTTATACTTCTATTAAACCAGTTTATTTCATCATTCATAATTTTTTGGGAGGTGACGATGATAGGATAAAAAAAGGGTGATAATATTGCTATTATGTCATTGGGATAAGGGTAAGGGAGTCCAACATTTGTTGAATTGCTTTTTCTCAAGGGCTCTAGTGATCCCTTCCCCCTCACCATAACCTAGATGAAGGGAGAGGGTCCTTAGACTGCAAAATATAAAAATGTGATGTAACTACTTAGGAAAATGATCATCTTTATTTAGGAATAGTCCCCATGTTTAATATTCTGTTTTCTCACTCAATTTCTTGTATAGAGTAGACTCAATTCCAAAGATGAATATCAGAAACAGTTGCTGCATAATGCATGTTTACAATTTCTGGGGTTAATTTGACATCTTCCTGAACCATAATTCATCTCATAGACAAGGCACAAATGGCAATATTTGGAAAAGCAAAGATAATCAATGCAAATCTATAAAAACCAATGTTACAACCTTCTCTATGATTTAATTTGATAAGTATTTATTGTATGTGTATATGAGGCTCATATTTTTCACATTCCATCTATTATGTGTGGAATACAATTAATAGTCTATCATTTGGATATATTTGATGTTATAACATTTAATTGCAATCAGGTTTTTTCAAATATCATTCCATTGTATAATTATCTTATCTCCTAATTAATAGACAAACTAACTGATGTCAGTTCAGATTGTTGAAATTAGCCCAATAATTATCTCCTGAAATCATTTGTATTTGAGTCATAATTTTTTAAAGTCTCATTCCATCAAGGGCGTTACAATACCCGGGAATTTTGGTTCGTCCAGTACTTGTTTGTGATAGCGCCCTCTGTAGGTCACTGTGCTTATAGCCTACAGTAATACGGGGTAGGATATCGGGAATTCGGTCAGTTTCTATCCGTCGATTTCGCTATGAATTGAAGCAAGAGTGACCACTTTATCCACTTAAACAATTTGATAATTGATTAAATCTTTAAACAAAATCGATAAACACGTTATACAATTCCTATCTCCTTAGAAATTAGCATGTATTTATGGATTGTGTTTTCGAACAAGGCTCGACCCACACCAATAGGGAAATCCTTATGCTAATTAGTATGACGTCATATTTTCCTGGGGAATCCTAGATTTCAAAGCCTCAGTCTGTTATTGTGTCAAATGTTAACGCTCTTGGGACGCTCTTTTGCAGACAGAAAATTGACAGATTAGCTTTTAACTTTCAGCTTTGATGTTTAAATATTCTGTATTTCTACCGGACTTCTTGCTGAATATCATATAATGTTATAACTTGATTTGGATCATTGCCTGATTGATCATTCTGAAATTTTGATTGTGATTCATGATTGATTGGCAAGAAAAATAATTCCTATTGTTTTCCAGCGAAGTCAAAATGTTACAGCATGAGTTTTAATGTCGAGTTTGCATCATGTTAAATTCTGCTAGTGATTAGAAGTCCATGCACAAGCATACACATAAGAGACAAACACACCCAGGCTCCAGGCCGTGGATGGAAATATAACACTATTTAAGGCACAAACTGGTATTAACAGACCGATATGTAGTGTCTGCCATGTATTGAAGGTAAACCAATCTGTATTATTAATGTTTCTTCTATCAATACATGGGTTGTGCAATAGAAAAGCAATGGCACAATCAAAAATGTGCATATCAATCGTGAATATCTCTCGGTTCAAAGCTTATTTACAACAGAATCGTGTCAAAATATGTGTCTGAGTAACAGTTATACATTATAAGATCGCAAACTCTTACCAATTATCAGCCGAATGGCTCATTTCAACGAAATGTCCTTAAGACAACAGCCCTGGGTCGCGCCTGAGACCAAAAACTACTTCAAATAGCCCTCCCCTAATTATATTGGATAATCACATTTATGCGTGCGC